TTTGGACTTTCTCCATGTAACTGAAAAGGGGAAATAGCCAAGTGGTTAAGGCGCCAGATTTAGGCTCTGGTGTGGCAACACGCGTGGGTTCGAACCCCACTTTCCTCACTTTTTTTTTTGGTTCTTTGTTCGGCACTTATTTTTTGCACCTGCGAAGCCGCTCGCAGCACCTTCTTGCAGCCTTGTTATTGGTGTTGTTGGAGGGATTGTTAACGGCGGCTCTGGAGCCACTGGGTAGTGGGTAGTATAGGGGGAGTAGGCGTAGGGTTTTTGGGCGGATACGCTGGGTATGTTGGAGGTATGTGGAGCGAGTAAGTGGGTGGAGGTGGTGGGTAGGAGAGCAGGTAGAGGGCTGTGTAGTAGTACATCGTGATGGCAGAATGATAAGAATCCACGCGGAGAAGGCATGAAAGTACCGAACACCATGGCGAAAGGATGGACACGCCGAGGGTCCATGTTTATGTTTTGAGAAAGAAGGAAAAGAGGAGGATGTTAGTACTTGGCTCATAACTGAAGAGGAGGAAAGCTAAGCGAAGAGATATGCAGATGTATTGAAAGACTTTAAGTTTTTACTCACTACTGGTTTGTAATTCTAATAAGATCCCCCACCTTCTTGTTCCACTCTACCAGCTTCTCGGCTTCACCACCCCTCTTCGTATTGCGGAAACCAGCCCTCTTCAGGTACCAGTTTTCTCTGAGCCTGATACCGCTCCCCCCAACCACCTTCAAAGCCAACGTCGCACAAACCTCCCCTTGGTACCCCTCACCCAACGTCAAGTAGCTGCGCTCGCCGTTGTACCCGGACAACAACTCCATCTTGATTTTGATCTCTAAAGTCCCCACAAAGGCCTCATCGACGTCCTCCTTGCTCAGCGAGATACTCTCATTCAGAACTTTGAAAGAATATCCTTCCCCCGGCTTCCCCTTCCCAATACTGTTCGACCCACCCGACTCGTTCAACTTAAACACCCGCCCCTCCCCAAACAGCTCCTTCACCTCCTGTTCACGTTGAATCTTGTTTGAGGCTTGCGCCCCCCGCGCACTCACAACGGCATGTCTCGCAGGGTCTTGTTGGAAATCGGTGAAGGTTGTCGTCCCCGTCGCCCGAACCCTATCTCTCATGAGCGCACCCGCCTTTCTGCCTCCCTTCAAACCCCCCCTCCTCGCCGCCGCCGCATCAGCCGATATCGACAACCCCTGCTTGTCGTTGCAAGGAACCCTTATGCCCCCACCATCCCCAACTGCGGCATCCACCAGTGTCTCCAGCAGCACCATAAACACCGCCTCGGCAACAAAAATCACCTGGTGCCAACAATCGTCCTCGTTAAGAAACCCCATCTGCCCCCCAACAGCCTCTGCAGCGTCCCTCCATATCTCCCTGGCCTGATCCTCAGTCATCCTCAGCAAGCAAACAATGATGACGTTCTCCTCAAATGGCGCATCCCCCAGCAACACACGCGCCATCCGATATAAGAGTTTGAATGGCCACCTTTCTCTTTCCGAACTCTTGCAATGTTCGTACGCCCTATAGCCCACTCCCCCCTTCTTCGTATACCCCGCTCCAGTATACCCCCCCAACTTCGCTCCCCCTTCACGAGCCTCAGGAATCCAAAGATTATAAAGCCCCGGATGTGTTCCCAACTCTTCCTTCGATTCCGCCACCCACGACGACGCCTTCCAACAATGTTCAAGGCCTTTCAGAACGTTCATTCTGGCTGCTGGGGTAACAAAAGAGGCCAAACGGAGAATCGCGAGGTGGTTTTGAGCGATGGTGAGGAGGATGTCGGAGACTGACTGGTCACCACCGTCTTTCTTGGCCTTGGCAATGGCAACGGCTTTTGCGGCGGCTCTCTCCCAGAGTTCGTCAAAGGGGTCGCTGATGACATGGGGGGGTATAGGTGGTGGTGGGGGAGTGGTAGGTTGGTTGATCTAGTGTGGGGAGAGGAAGAAGCGAGGTGGAACCGAGTGGGGTTTATAGGAAGTGGGTGTTCGTGGAAGCGGGTTGAGTTTAGCAAAGAGAGGGAGTGTGTATGTGGAAGCGAGAGCGGTTGCAGGACGACGGTGCATGTGCAAGTGTGTGTTCAGGTGAGAGAAGAATGTGCAAGTGTGTGTTCAGGTGAGAGAAGAATGTGCAAGTGTGTGTTCAGGTGAGAGAAGAATGTGTATCGGCAAGCGAGTGGAGTTGAGAGAAGAGTAAGAGTGCGTGCAAGTGAGTGGATTTGAAATAGCCAGAGAGGGGAACGCGCGAGGAGGGCCAGAGCGAGGACCGTGAGAGGAGCCGGTGGGAGGGGAGAGAGAGATCCGACGGGCGATGCAATTTGAAAGAGCCAATTGACACATTAGAGGAGGTGAAGGATACAAGTGTCGAAACTTACCCCCGACGGGCCAATATTGAAAGGCCCTCCTCTTGGAATCTGACTTTGCATTTTCGGAGATTGGTTGTCGCTTGAGGGGAAGTTGGTTGAATTTTTGGAGATTGAGATAGGTAGAGGTGAGAGTGGGGGGCACAGCAGTCTTTATATACAGAGAGTGGGGTGAGACAAAGTACGGTGGTGGTGGAGTGCTTGAGACCCATAAACAAAAAGCGCTTAGCAGTGATCAAAAAGCGCATCAGGTTCCCACGACTCGGCTCGCCACTGATAAAAGCGACCGTCAATTGGATTTCTCAAAACTGCTGCTGCTGCTGCAAGTAGTGAAACCATCATCATTGGAAAAAGACGACTCTAGCTCACTGAGACTCTCAAACCGTAAATCATCCTTTAAATACCCTTCAGAGGAATGTGTATCGGTCCGGGTCTGGCGCGCTCTGACGATGGTGGTCTCCGTCGCGATGGTGTTGTTGGGTTTTGCTACATGGTGGATGGAATGAGGAAGATGTAAAGTAGTAGGGGCTGAGGTCCGATGGATCTTGATAGGAGAGGTGTAGATGTGCGAAGAGGCGAATATCCATGTCGGGTGAGGAGAGGCGAGTGGTGGTGAGGTGAAGTGGAGCGACAGAGTGTTGCGAGGAAGAGATTCCGAGGTGGAGAGAAGAGTGACAACGACAACTTCAATCATGAAGAACATGAAATGGCATTATAAATAAACCACCATAATATTTATACCTTATCGGACTTTTGGCTGTGCGGATTGAAATGAGGTGACACACAACATTTTTTAAATTTTTTTTTCTTTTTTTTTTTTTTTG